ATATTATATAACAATATATAGTATATGTTTTTAATCATTAATCTAATGTTTTAATCAAATTTTTGTTTTAATCTACTTTTAATGATAAAAGTATGTTAAATGATAAAAGCTGTATTTATTTTTATGATTTATTCTTCTATTAATTAACTGCTTTTATCAATTGATGATTTTTAAAATTATTCTTTTTTAAATTATTAGAGATAATTTAGAATTTCAGCGTTTTATTCATTATCTTATAATTTGAAAATAAGTTTTGATTTATTTATAATTTCTAGAAAAGATAACATTATATGTGAGCTAGAAGGAAAATAGGATATTACAATAAGAAAAAAAAGGATGTAAAGCTTTTTTCATAAGAAATGGAAAAATAGTAAAACTATAAAATTTATAAAGAATAGATTAAACTGAGAAATAATCTTTAAAATAATATAAATTCATTATATTTACAAAATATTTGTAAATAATTACAAAAAAAAAAAAAAAAAAGAAAAAAGTCTTACCATCAATGTTACAATTTTATATTGTGTGTACATGTCTATGTATCATATAAATAAAAAAATCATATTCTTTATTTCTTTGTTTTTATTGTAATTTATTTGATTATATTTAATTTGTATCTATATTTATTTTTGTACAATTGTATATTGTATATTTTATATACGTATGTATGATGTGTGTACATATATGCATATATATGCACACACATCCATATACACACATATGTACACACACATACACACACGCGCGCGCGCGCATATATATTAAAAAAATATGATTTTTTTTACTGATCTTAGAAATTAAATTAGGTTCAAGGTCATTATCATTTTGTCTTAAATTATATTGTAATTTGATTATATACATAAAGATTATATACATAGAGATATATAAATGTAATATTTTATTAATATAGTATATCAAGAAAAAGATTATATTTATGAATTTTATGTATATTATAATCATATGTTTCAGGTGATTGACAATTATTTATGATATGCAATTTTTGTTATATTTTATTAATGTAGAATAATTTTAATTTTTTATAAACTTTTAATTCTATATTTAAGAAATGTTATTCTTTATAAAGAATCATATTTCTTAAATATAGAAATATGATATTTCTAACGCAAAGTAAATACTTGATATAGTATTATTAAATATATTGATATATGTTATTTAACATATTTTTTACTTAATAATTTTATAGAACTTTCTGATGTATCAACATATTATGCCAAAGATTATACTTGAAATAGTATATATTTGCAAAAAATCTTTGCAATATTAATATACCAAATCTATATAGAGAGCACTTTTACAATGTCGAATTCTAAGAAAAGTTCAGATTGTAATCAGAAAAAAGTTACAGTGCTCGAAGAGCCACAAACAAACATAAAGAAAAAGGAAGATACATCAACACGACCTAAGTGCGAATTGGATTCAAATGGTTGTTTAAATCTCCAAAATATTCTGCTGATGTTTGATAGTCCTGTAAGTCAAGAACGAGCATGGGCGTTGTGTTATCAAATAGCTAATAGTTTATCATGTTCAACGGAAAACATGTTTTATGAAATATCAGAACTTTCACAAATTATACTTCATAAGAATGGAGATATCTGGTTTGAAAACCTGGCAGGTAATTATTTTATTACTAGAATTTACTAATAAATCAAGAATCATGAACTAATATAATGTTTGAGATTTGAGATAATTAATAGGATAATTTGTGTTATAGGGTCTAAGCAACTTGTTTCCGAAGAAAAGGTAAATGTATAATTTGTAATAAAATTATTTAATTACATTTGTATTACTTGTATTAATTGAATTATATTAAATACAGATTATGTTTTTGGGGGGGATGGGGAAATAGGCGGTGTTCTCATTAGGCATGGCAATATTTAAGGCCTTAGACTTTGGTTCTAATGCTGGAGAGGAAATAGCCTTATTACCAGACTTAGAAGCTCTCATTACTTTGATGACAAACTGTAATCGAAGTAAATAAATTACTATTTTTTTTTAGTAATAACAAAAAGAAATATAAGTAATACTTGGCAGACAGAATCTTGAATGAATAATCTCTTATTTTTGAATTTATATGTATAAATTCAAGATAATTGCTTGTGTATGTATCCGTAACTACAGGTCATTATTTTTATTGGACTTACAATAATGGCTTAAAACCAAAGTTTTTTCTTTTCAATAAATCAATAATATTAAGTCGATGTATGAATGTATTAAATGCATTGTTTTTTCTTTTTCGATATTGATTAATCCTCTCATTTACTTTGTGAGTGGCTATCATCATAGCAGATGATGCATTTTGATAGTTTGTATACCTATCATATATGTTATACATACATATGTTATATAACTATTAAATTTGTAAAAATATTTTATTTTTTTGGATTATTTTATAATTGATTAAATTTACAATCATTAAATATTGAACATGTATTATTATGACATAATTTTTTTATATCATATAGCAATTGTTCAATCTGAAATAGACATATATATATATATATATAT